ACATGAGGTTAGACTCCTACCGTACTCATGGCTCGTTGGCTTTGACTCCCCTTCTCTTCTTTCTGCATGCGACACAGTGTTGCAGATCCCATCTCCCTCTTCTCCTTCGCACAACTCGACGTATCATAGCACCCACGATCTTCTTCCTCCTCTTCCTCTGCACATGAGCACTCTTCCTCTGCACACGAGCACAAAAACACTTCCTCCTCTTCCTCTTCTCCTTAGCACGACAACAACACACGAAGCCCTCCTCCCTCCTTCCTTGGCTAGGGTTCGGCATGACAGAGAGGTCGCACGCAAGGCTCCTTCTCAATGCTATGGTTCCTCTTCTTCTTCTTTCAATCAGTCAGGGCACACATGAGATTTCCCTCTCTCGATCTCTCTGCTCTCCTTCTCGATCATTGTTCTCTGTAGGCTTTGAATGAAATGATTTGTATAAGCCCCCTTAAAATTCATTTAAGCTAACCGCTCGGTGGTTATTTTGATTCAAATTTTTATTTATTTATTTAATTCAGTTATTACAGGTGCTTCCCAAGTCCAAGGGAAGGGAGCCATCTGCCACATTTATGCCCTATAGGGCAACACTAATTTCCTACAATTTCTCAAACTTTTTTCTACCTTTCGTGTTCCTATGATGACCCCCCATGGCTTCTTGTATCTATCGGTTTTAACCCCAACTAGCCCATGATTCGATTTGAGATGAAATTGTGAGTGGCCCAACTATCCACTAACACCACTACTGGTTGCTCCACGATCTGTTCCCTCACCTTCATGGTGTGGTTTGGAGTAAATGCGACAATTGAGATGAGGGACATCTCCACTATATCGAAGTGCAAGTGCTCTTCTACTATTTTTTCCTGTGACTCCTGACTGTCTGCATCCTCTCCCCTCAAAAACTAGAAGGACCTGGAGCGTACGCTTCTTGTTCCGGTGGCCTGGGTATAATTTTCATCACATCATAAATATAATCTATTTGCTCTCTTGTCCCACACATTTGCCTTTGTGATTCTCTTGAAATTGACACTGTGACGTGCTCCCGTATTCTTTTTCTTTTGTGACTCCTTTTGAAATGACACTGTTTGGGTCCTTGGTGTCATGATTATCGAGAAACATATTTGGAATCCTCCAGTGGTGTTTTTTTTTACATGTGTTCTTTATTTGTTTTTTTGTCTTCCACTATCTGGGCGAGCTCCATCATCTCCCTCAATCCCCGCGGTCTCAATGGTCGGAATACTGCCCGTATGTTAGGCTTTATGCTTTTCATGATGTTCCCTTTCAGTCCCACATCAGAAATTCCCCTTAGCTATCTTGATAATTGCTTGAATCTCTTCATATACTCCATGATATTCCCCTCCTAAGACAAGACATAGAATTGCTTGTGTAGGTCTTTTTCCTGAATCATTTAGAAACGTTCCAACAAGCAATCCTTAAATTTCTCCCGTGAATGGATTAGTATCTCGTTAGGAAAATGAGTCTGTCCTCATTTAGCCATTCATCGCAAAGTATTGCTCTACCTGATACGTCCACTCATACACGTCTTTCTTAGCAAAGATCGACATCTTCAATTTTCTAACAATAGCATCACCGTCCCAACTTACTCTCCATCTTGTGTTCTCCCATGCATCTAGGGTAAAACTCCCTCTTTTAATCATAGTCATACATCATTCTTGCTTCTCTCATTCCTTCTTTATTCTTCTTCGGGTCCATTACATAGCCCCTCCTCCCAAATTTGGCTTAGCCCCCTCAATTGGAAATCTCTAATCCACTTTCCATCGGAATCCTTGGGGGAAGTTCTTGATGATGGATGCTTTCCTCATGCTCCTCTCGTTCGATCTTTTTTCCTTTTGATTTGGCCAAGGATCCTTCAGTCTACCCTTGGTCGCAAATTTAGCTGTTGGTGGGGTCTTGGGTTGCACTTCAATAACCTTTATCATCTCCTCCAAGCTCCTGAATTGATTTTCCACGGAAGAATACGTATCGTCTATAGAGAAAAATATTCTCTTTTATGGTGGAGAACCTTTATTCGGTGGAGAACCTTTATTCGATTCCGTATTTGATTTGACCTACTTTTTCTTCCAATAACTCTTCCAACACATTCACTTTCTTTGTTGTCATATCTCCGAAATCTTGCTCTAATACCAATTTGATACAAACCGGAGCCAAAATCAATGAGCAAATAGTAATAGATATATGGGGAAACTCAAGCTAGGGCTAATTTGATTAATATCAAAGTTGATATAGGGAATGATCTACAATTCAAGAGGTAGATCGTCTCTCCACCCTAGACGCCGCTAAGAAACACAAAGACAAAAGAAAAATTGCAAAAAATCAAAACCTTAATCAAACCTTAGCTAATTAGCCTTAATAAATACTCTCCAAGATCCATTCAAATTTTTCCCCCAAAACCCTCCTTAATGCCTCTCTCGTACATGATTAATGGCTACTTGGGCCCCATCTGGAAGCTGGAATTGTCCTCAATAGCTCCTAGGGCTTCCGCCCCTCTAGGCTGGGTTGGTTGGCTTGGCCTGGTCAGGCCGGTCTTCCTTGTACATGCTGCAGGAGCCATCACATGGCAGGATGCCTTGAACCAGAAGAAACATTCCATATTGATCTAGCATTGCGAATATCATTGGTCAGTGAATTTAAACGTCCTTGTGAATATTTTTTTGTAACTATATTCAAATAAAACTATGCAAAAATTTATTTCAATCCAATTTCTAATTAGAGAGTGTTCAAGTTGTTGTTGTTACTTATGGCTGAAGTCATTTGTATCAGATTTTATATCTCCCTTCTCTAGTCTCCATACTTAGATGGCCCAAACTGGTTTTGCAAATCTTTGAAATCCCTCACATGCTTTTATTTGTCGAGTTATACAAAGCTAGTGGCACTACTTTTTTGAGATATCTATGTAAAAGGAGGTTAAAATTTGTTTATCATCATCCGTTAGGTTGGGAAATTCATTGATATGTTCAATTTTGTATATCCATTTTTTTATTGCCTTATGCGCATTACTAAACTGAAAATTGCATGAGCTTGAATAGTGTTTTTTAATCCATGGATCTATTGCTCGTCACATTATCTTGGCATTCCAGTCACATTTTGCTTCTAGGAGTCTTAATATAAAATTGACTTCTCTAAAAACATCGCCAATCAAATTGACTTACTATGCTGGGGCATTTGCGATTGTCACTTTCAACATTGCGTCCCTGCCTTTTGTCCTCCAGCAATGTGGTATTTCATCGGTGCACTTGATATGTCATTGAATGGACCAATTGATAGAACAAAGGGTAAGGTAAATAAAATTAACAAAGGCAATTTGATGATGCTCACAGCATCCAAAAAGATGTTAAGAGGAAGAAGATGAGAAGGGAACTGATGATTTCAATCTTTTTGTACCCCTTTTCAATCATCCTCATGCTATATATAAATTTATTTACCGCTATTCATCCCTACAATCAGCGGAAAAGTAATGCATGGCTATACTCCAACAAGCTTGGAGGATACCCAAATCATTTCTTCTCTCTTGCAGGGACCACAATCCACCGTTAACACCTTGTATTGGAAAATCCTTGAACAAGCTGGGAAACATTGAACCTGCTTGGCAGTTCTGATGTCATTCTTCAGTTCATCTAAACCTTCCTAGCATATACTTTGTTGATTTCTCTGCGTGGACTCTTTGGTTAAATTCTTTCTTTTTGATGGTATGTTTTAAATGGTTGCACTGTTGATTACAAGTGCTTGCCTTTGTTTTATAGGAAAATGATTCTTGAATTTAATTGTTGTTTATTGTTAGATCAGCGGTTATTTATTATTTTCTCCTATTGAAAGTTTTTTTTTTCACCTTGACTTTTTACTGACTTTAAAAAAAATAAAGAAAATTTAAAAAGGACTTGTTCTTAGCTGAAATTAATTTGATTCTGTGGAGACTATTACAGTTACTTTCAGTAGGGCTGATCAGTGGAGAAGCCTGATTTGTTTTTGCTAATTATTTTGCGTATGTTGAAACTGGCTAAAACTCCATGTTGTAGAATTACCTTACAAAGGCTAGGGCTCAGGGCATCAGAAGAAACAGCTCCCCGAGGTCCTCAGAGTTAAGATAATGTTGTTCCTCATCGAGCTGCTTCCATAGCAGTTCTTAGAAGAGTGATTTTGTCAACATTGGAGTGGAGAGTGCTGTTTTACCGTTTGAAGTTAGAGAAAGAACTAAATGCCTTTGTCCATAAGATACGTGGGATTTGTATACTACCAGATCATTGTTATGTATTTACATTTCTAACATCTATACTTTGATATTTACTTATGTAACAACTGAATTCATATATCATTTTAAAAATGCCACTAATCTTAAACTTCTAATGTGAGATAGACCTTTTCACGGATATATTTTGATGTGATTGAGACATTAATGTTCTATATGAGTAAATATTAAACTTTTAGGTTTTAGATATTGTAAATATATGAAAATTATGTGTTATGTGTGTAAATCCCCTAACAATGTTTACACATATTTTGAGTACACATAGCTTTATCTTTTGAAATGTTCCCTGTTCCAATCAATTCAACATTCGTCAAGGGAAACTTAATGATCGTTGAGAAGATTTCACTTGAATGGGTTTTATTTCTCGGAACTGAAATCTTGAATTGAGAAATGATCCTTAGGCATGCTTTCTTTGATTGCAGTATTTATGAACGAATCTATGGTCAGTAGTTCATGCAATCTTCTCTGAGTGTAAGTTATCCCCTTAATATTGGACATAATGCTACATACCATTCAGAAATTTCTAAAGAAAAGGCAGCCCCATCACTTATAAGATATGTATAAATGTCATAACAAATTGAAATGCTTTCAAGGGTTGTGGTACTTAGTTTCCGTGCAATCGTTCTGTTACAGCATTTACAAAAGTTTTCAAAGTTATTCACATTACCTTGATTTCCAGGTCACATTACTAATTTATGGTTTTATTTTTTAGGATACTTTTTTTGATCCTGTTCTCATGCAGGTCAATAAATACAATGAAGTCATACAGAGATCAGACAGAAGTACTTGTTAAGGATTATCTGTTAGCTGATGCAGTTATTCCATATACATCTGTACTATGTGGAGTTTTGATGTGTAAAATGGTATGCACAATAGTACTTCTTCAATTACATAAATCTATTCACAATGCATTATGGAATATATTCCATCAAATTTGCTTTGCACTGTCTAGAAATAATAATAAAAAGGGGAAAATGGGAGTGGATGAAATGTAAATTTCAGCAATTGAAGTGAATAACTGTGGCATGCGTGAATTTGGTCTTTCATGTTGCTATTGTCCTAATTTTATAGTTCTGTTCACAAATGTTGATAAATATTAAATTCACTAAATAAGTTCATGTGAGCGCATGCTAAAAAAAGTTTATTAGTTGTTGAAAGGTTCAGTTATAGTCATATTTGTTCATGGTGAATGGTTCAGACCAAACGGATGTCATATATTTCTTAGTTTATTTGATCGAGTCTCTTCCTCAAGTCTTGTGTTTATCCTTTGGGATAGATACAGGATTTGAGGTACAATGCTCTTTCATTTAAACTATGAAAAATATGAGGTCAGTTTGATTTCATATTTTTTGAATGGTGCATTATAGCGCAAAATATTAAAAATTAATGAATAATGGACAAGAAAAAAGATGAAAGACTGTTAACTGAAAGATACATTACCATGTCATTGGAAATAACAAAAATAATTCTCAAGTTCAAATGCTCAACTATCAACACTTCAGCCATTTAAAATTCAACTCATACAAGTTTCTTAAAGCATATTAATTTTATAAGAAATTAGACTAATCATCGAAAGAAACATCATCATCATCATAAGTCCAAAAAACCTTCTTAGCATCATAATTAAAATCATATTCTTCTTCATCGCCTTTATCATCTTTATGTTCAATTGCAATAATGTTAAATCTTGATGAAGATTCATTCTCTTTGCCTTTAGATTGCTCTCAAATATTGTAGCTTCTTTCATAAATATCAACAATTTTTGCAATAGTTTTTCATGTCAACGTGTAAGAAAGTCATTAACTTCATCAGAATGATCATGTACTTTTCATTTTTATCATCTATATGATTTTAAAAAATAGGTTCTATAAGAATCATAATGATTATATATGTGAATTAAATCTATTTTAGTTTACATAAATTGAATCTTTGTGGTGGTCATGATCCATTTTGCTTCAGTTGCAACTTATTTAAATGCTGCTGCACAGTAGCTGTGGCAGGAAACTATTGCGGATAAGTTGTCTGTTTATTTTTTTGCAGTTTTGAAATAATATTGTTGTAGTTGTTTTTGAACAAATGATCTTTCTGCGCCTATACTATAGTGTTGTTTATAACAAAATTATTTGTACTAGCATATTCCATGTTTGAAAGAAAACATCTAGTTTGAGCGTTACAAAAGAAAAACAGACACTTCACAAAACTGTGAGTAACACGACTATCAAAATTAAAAAAAAAGAGCATTAAAATAACAATTAATAATATGATAATATTTTTTTTAAAATGAACTTGGTTTATGTCATGAGATAAACCATCTTATAAGGAAACTCGCCACGCCTGATTACTATCGGCGATCGATTCCTCCAATCCATCTGCTCAGCTAAAGAAGTCACAACTTTCTATTCTTCTTCTCGGACACATGTAAAACTCTCCCGTAGTTATGTGACTGTCGCAGAGTAAACAAAGAACATTATAGTCCACAGTAGCAGCAGAATGCTCTGAAGGTACCGCAAGCATCGAGCTCATCTTTTCTGAAGGTTTATAACAATAAAGTACAAATCCTTAGATGCAACATTAGTGAAAAAAATATTAAAGTAATCAATGCAAGTTTTATGAAAGTGTGAGATCTTCGAGAGCACAGTATACAAACTGATGAATCTGTGAGTGGAAGAAGACAACAAACTTTATAAAAAAATAATTATTGGTTGCCTTTAAACCACGTAATACTGAGTTCATATGTGTCACATGCATATCACTAAAAAACCCCATTCAAATGAGTCAAAAGACAACACTGAAAAAGAAGTGAATTTATTTGCTTTCATTGGGATTTCACATGTGTCAAGAACCAATAACGATATATAGACCATCTAGAAGAACCCTTAAGGTCGAATGTCTCATCATTGTCCTCCAAAAAATAAAAAATAAAACATGTTATAAATATTTATATTACATATTATCTTCATGGATACCTCATCAGCCATCCAAGTGGGGTAGAATACATGCAAAAGAACAAGAAATAAAATTGAAATTCAAAATATAAATGATTCGAAAAAACATCGATACAACAAACAATAAAAGTTTTCACCTCTCACTGGCCACCACAATCTGCACATCCTTGGGGAACTGATATGTTAGCATATCCCGTAGTACGACCAAATTTTTTTTTCATGCTCCAAATATTCTTTTAATGACACCGCGTAAGGACGAGTATTTCTTGCTAAACATTTCTTTCCTACCCTAGCAGTATTTGCTGGATCTTTCATAATTGGGGATGTGATATTTGGTATCTGGAAATGACTTCAAAAACCCTCTTTGTAAGGTGTATCAAGCATCGACCTAATATTATTTATTTGACATGCAATAATTAATGGTGCACTAAAAAGATACCTAATTATGGTTTATGTGGAGCAAACATAGAAGTGGATGAGGGAATTTGTACTTCGAGTTCTCGTGATAAATTTGAATATACGACTGTTGTGTGTACTGCATTTTTAGCTAGTTATAAAAAAAAGTAAAATACATATTGAAGTCACATGCGTCTATTACATTTTGTGTTGGTGATTCACACCACCTCATGAATGCGGCATTTTCATTATTCGATACACGTGCATCCATGTGTGTTCCATCGATCACTCTAATATAATTCTAAGAAATTTAACAAGGGTATGAAAATTACTGTATTGACTTGACTACTAGAATTAATAAATAAAAAGAATTACTTTAAAATATGACATATACCACGAGTCATGTGCAATCTCTATATGAGCCCTTTCAAATATTGAGTCACCTGGCTTGATAATTTATGATGATAAACTGAATAGAGCTTTCAACTCAACTAAAAAGTATCTACTGATTATTTTCGATGAGTGCTCGAATCACTCCATCACTCATCTTATAGATTCATTATGTGATAAAGTGTAGACCTCTCTAGAAGTCCTGTTGGAGGAGCCATGAAGTCCATGTTTCTTGCGTAGTTTCTACAAGAGATCGATGAATACGGGCTGTGTCATACGAAATGTATTGTTGAATCTTGCTGGGTGCCCCACAAGCAACTCGCCAATCCACTTATCACCAATTAATGAAAATTTCATGCAAGGAGAACGAGCTATGTATGAGTTATAGTACTCATACAAAAAACATATCGCTGCTACAATTCTTCTTCTACGTCTTTCTCTATATGCATCCATGTTAATCAATGTCTATTCAGCTACCATATATAAGAATCACCAAAATAGCAAGTATCATAACATCTTCTAAACAAACAATATTCATAAATAAGCTTGGAGTAGCAAATAATAAGATCCATGACAAAAAGCAAATATCCAAATTTGTGTTGAAAGTGTCCCAATAAATTTTGAAGGAATATAAATTGTCCAGCTAGAAAAAAAGGAAATTTAAGCACCCTTGTTGTCATTAAAATAACGTAAATAAGGGACTCTATGTTCAGGGACCATTGTAAAAGAAAAACTCTCTCTAGATCGGGCTAGACTTGAGTTGGGTCGGGTCTCGATTGGGTCAGGTCCAGGTTGGATCAGACCTGGGTTTGATTTTAGGGTTTGGGTTAGGTTGGGCTTGACCTGAGCTAGGTCGAGTCTGGGTTGGATCATACTTAGGTTAGTTTTAGTGTTTGGGTTTGGTTGGGATGGACCTGAGCTGGGTTGGGTCTAGTTTTGCTCATATCTGGGCTAGGTTGGGCTAGACTTGAGCTGGGTCGGGTCTAGGTTGGGCTAGAATTGAGCTGGGTTGGGTCTAGGTTGGGTCAGACTTGGGTTAGGTTTTAGTGTTTTGGTTTGGTTGGGCTATAGACCTGAGCTATGCCGGATCTAGGTTGGGTTAGACCTCGGTCAGGTTTTAGGGTTTGGGTTAGGTTGGGCTAAGTATCAACTAAGTCAGGTCTGGGAGTCAGGTCTGGGCTGGGTCAGACCTGGCTTAGGTTTTAGTATTTGATTTAAGTTTTAGGTATCAGGATTAGGTCGGGTTCGAGTCGACCCGAGTCGAACCCTAACCCAATCCTAATCCAAGGCTATTCAGTCAACCTAAAGTTGATTCTTAACTCAAATACTTAAATTAAAACACTTACAAAACGACGACTGACTGGAGATTGGAGATCGAAGACAGAAGAAGGCACTTCTAGAAGAAGTGTTCATCGGTTATTACTTCGGTGGGTTCTGCAACCGACCACGGTTGCCGGATGCTTTCAATCGTTCGATCTAATGGACGGTCGAGATGAGGATCCATGGACAAAGGCCGCGGATTAGTGATGTCGTGGTCATGCCCCAAGTAGGCGTGATCACACCTGGGCGTGGCCAATCGAGGCCAGCAAGGGCACAATTTTGTTTTCTTATGGTTCAAAGGCATTGGGACATTTTCGAAAGCTCATTATGACTCTGAAAGCTACATGTGACCCAAAAATGAGGGCAACAAATGCAAGTTGCGAAAGTGCCGTACCAATAATTTGATCTATTGGTTGCTGATGCTCCAAGTAATACAAATAGAAAGTAATTCTCTCCGTTAGAAAGTATGCCTCACATATTGACTCCGCAGGGCGTATTTTATTTTTTACGATTTTTTGATTTTATTTAAAAATACGCAACATCGTTCGTTATTTAGTAAATTTTGGTAATAAATTTTTTAATTTAAATAATTAGACACAGAGAAAACATACCTCTCAACTAGATGTATCCATCTGTACTGTACTAGTCCATTTATTATAAACTCATGACACAGATGTATTTGCTTTATCTTGTATAAAATCAATGAAATACTTCAAGATGTCTCAATGTATCAAATTTCTATTTTCTTGCACATAAATTTTTGAAGAAAATATTGATTTCGATAAAAACTGTAGTTTACTGTAAGCACTACAAGAAAATGTAACAATTATAACTTGTCAAGCTGAATATTTTTTTTTTGCTCTGAAGTTAATGTTGCTATTCAAGTTTCGCGTGGTTCCACTAAGAAACTTCAGAGATTACAACCATTATTATATTGTTCTTCATTGATACAATGATAGATAATACTTAGCTTTAGGCTTTCTCATTTTAGCTATAGTTGTCTCTTGAAGTTCTAACTTCCCTTTCTAGCAATATTCTTTCAAATCCAATTTCACTTTGACATTATCTTTAGTTTTGCCCTTAATATCTGTCGTAGTGTTAAAGATATTATTAATTATTTTTAATATGCATAATGATCCTGAAACTGCTTATATGCAACAGTATAACAATGACTTTAATTATAATTTTCATTTATATTTTCACTTTTCAGCAGAACAAAAAACTTGATTCTGAATAAAATAAGAATTTAACTTTTTAATTTATATATATATTGGGATACTACGCAAGTATACATATCGTTATCAAGTAATATAGGACTTTTTGATTAAGCCCCAAATATCGATCCCACGGGGAAAATACGCAATATGCACTTTCAAACAAAAAACTTCTATTTTAAAAAGACAATCACTTAAACTATAGATAATTTGACAGTAATTAAAATTAAAATCCTTTTGGTGTTTTTGATATTTTGACAAAACAATAACAACTTCTAAATAACTTGAGTTTATGTAAAAGAAAAACACAGATTATGAAAATATATTTTTCATTTTCATGAATTAGTAATAAGTATAAGAATTCTGTTGTGGAAGTATGCAAATTATGTTGTGCCAAATAAGAGCAATAATATTCTTTACCCTTAGTAGAGATGCTATAAATTGAATACTTCTGAAGACCTGCTAGGCAGGGAAGATACCAGTTCTCACTCTAGAGTTCCCTTGATTTCCTCCACCTGGGAGCTTACATCTCGTATCAAAACCTAAACCATAAATCAAGTTGGTGGCTTTAACTTGTCACTTGAAAGTCCTCTAACTCTACACCCTTCAAAGATTATTTTCCTATTTATTTGCACTAAATCATATGAATTACATTCTCATTCATACAACCTCATGTGATTCTTACCAATTGTTGACT